TAGTAAGGAGGTGTTGGCAACTACATAATATTTACCCACCTAATTTATCCAGGTAATGGTGGAGGAGATGGTTAGCACCAGAAGGACTTTATGGAATTGTACCAAATTTTCAGAAGATTTTGTTTGGATGATACTTGTAAGAAAATTGGGCAAAGGTGGAGGACACATTAGCACGAGAAATAACTTATAGAATTGAACCAAAACTTTTTAAGATGCTATTTGCGTGATACCTAACCTTGTCTAACGTCCTAACCTGTGCGATGTTATGTTGATTTTCTTACTATCATCCAAACAACATCTCTAGAAAAAATGAATGATTTCACTACGATATGAAGCGTAATATACACACCCTATGAGATTGTCATTGGTTTCTTGATATGTAAACAAAGACCATGGATGCTCCCACATCGCAGATGATGTGAACTAAAACATGGTCGCTACGGAAGATCTGATGGTGCCTTATTATGTTAAATTTTTTATTTCTTCGGGTATAAAGCACGTACATGTTAAATTACTGCCATATGACCAGTGTTCATAGTGTTTTATCTAGTTATTTCCCCCTTCTTTCATTCCCTGCCCACTAACAAGTAATTAATGATCAAAGGATAGGTTAAAAAGAAAAAAAAGAAAAACTACATACAATGTTGTCACCTCGATTTTATTACTCAGTATTATCCAAACAACATCTCCTGAAAATTTGGCATCAGAAGGACTTATGGAATTGCACCAAATTTTCAGGAGATATTTGGATGATAGTAAAAAAGAAATTTGAAATGATAATGCACAGGTTAGGAAGTTAGATAAAGTTTGGTAGGTTAGGTCTGGTTCTAATAGACTTTGTGCTTCATCGTTTCATTTTTTTTACATAGTATCATCCAAACAACATCTGGAAATTTGGTGCAATTCCATTAAGTCCTTCTGGTCCTAGCAGTCTCCTCCACCATTACCATAGTCCATATTAGGGGCGCTTCCTAGCTAACCAATTGTAGAACAAACAACCAATGAAGAAGAATGTTTCCTTTCCCTATGAGAAAGTAAAGAAGTGCATGAGTAATACATTTTGTGTAATATCACTTGGTAAAGGTGGAGCAAACAGTTAGCATCCGAATGCTTTTATATATTTTGTTCATATTTTCCTCAGTTGTTCTTTGGATGATATTAACTAATAAAATTGATAAGACAATTGTTTATTTTAATTAGAAGTATTTTTTTCCCTTTTCTCTATATACGATCACAAATCACTTGTAGTAAGCAGTGCATGAAGGATGAGGGAAATTGCTGGGTAAAAACATGACAAAAACTGAACATATGAAACTTAAATCAAGTCTCAATGTGCTTTGTGCGTGAAGAAATAAATATTTATTATTAATATAAAGCTGACAATTTTCACCAGTCAGCGTGTATATGCTCTATGTATAATTCAAGTTTGAGTATGTGTAAATAAACATGTACACTTATATCACTCTGGTTATTACAGTGTTCTGGCCCTTAACCATTGATTCTTGATTAGTTAATAAAGCAAGAACATGTAAAAGTTTATTGGGTTTTCTGTGTTGAAACCCAATATTTTCCTTTTCTTTGTTTATTATAAAAAAAGGTTTCTATGTACACTTTCAAAAAGGATATCACCGTATCATTTGTTTTACTGAAAATTTTTTTGGGGTGCAGGTTCTTCTTCTACATTTTGAATCTTCCTCTGCAATTTTCTGTGCATCCAGTTCAATTAGATCCTCATTACTTAGCTCTTCTGCTACACTTTCAACCAACTGCTCAACATCTCCATTATCAATTTCTAACTCCAGCTATTTACCCAACTCCACTATCTTGTTATTAATCTCAGAAATTACTTCATCTTCATTAAATCCTTTGAAACTGTTCACACATATCTTTTCAGGACTCTCTTCCATATTCCATTCATGCACTGACCTGTAACCTCATCCCATGCTGCAGCTATGTTCCTTATACATTTCAAAATGTTGTAGTCCTTCCAAAACTCTGAGCGTTTTCTCACCTTCAGTAGCAGCAACAGCTTGAGCGAAGGTCGTACGTAAATAATTCACTTTAAAAGCAGCAATAGCACCTTGATCCATGGGTTGGATGATGGAGGTAGTGTTAGGTGGAATGTAGACTACCTTAACATCAGGGTGCAGGTCGTCCAGGTGTGGTGGGTGTCCGGAGCATTATCCAAAATTAATAAAATCTTGAATGCAATCCCTTGTTGCAGACAATACTCCTTGGCTCATGGAATGAAACAAGTCAGGAACCAATCCTCAAACAGTACTAGGGTCATCCATGCTTTCTTATTACTGCGATAAAACACTGGCAGTGTGTGCTTGCTGACATGTTTAAAAGCCCTTGGGTTCTCTGAATGATATATCATGAAGGGCTTTATCTTGAAACCAGCTACCTTCCCCCCAACAGAAGTGTGATTCGGTCCTTGAATGTCTTGAATCCTGGCATTGTTTTCTCCTGTTTGTAGATATATGTCTGTTCTGGCATGCGCTTCCAGAATAAACCAGTTTCATCCACATAAGATATTTGCTCAGGCAAATAATTTCCCTCCACGATGACACGATCTAGCTCCTCATAAAAGCTTCGGCAGCACCCACATCAGCACATGCTGCCTCTCCACTCACCTTTACACTGTGCAAACTGTAATTGTTCTTAAACCTTTGGAACCACCCATGACTTGCTGTGAAGTTTTGGTCGCACTCATCTCCTGCCTGCTCCTTCGGGCTTTCGAAAAGGCTTCTTGCCTTAGCCTGTAGGGTTAGAAGGCTTAAGGGTACATGCTTTTGTATCTGATTTTTTTATCCATATCACAAGTAATTTTTCCATCTCATGAATAGGACCTTGTCTTTTTTCGTTATTATTGTTCCCTTTATAGGTGCTGATCCTTTCACTGCCTCACGAATTCGTTCCTTGTCCTTCAAAATTGTCGATATCGTCGAGTGAGAGAAGCCTAGGTCGTGTGAAATGGTTGCTGCCGTTTTCCATTTTCATATTGCATTATTATTTTAATTTTCATCTCAAAAGTAATTGACTGTCTCCTTTTCTTCTGAGCACCACCAGAACTCTCACTTCTATGCTTGCCAGTCATTCTAAAGTGAATTAGAAACAAAAATATTGTCAGTGCACAGCGCGATCACTACCGACAACAACGACAGCCAAACACCAACCGAGTGCTCTACGGCGTGGATGCCGTAGCCACGAGACGACCCAGCCCACGCGATGCTCTCGAACGGGACGGAAACGTCATTTGAAAAATTTTTGGTACCGACTGTGGCGGTCGTATGTGTGGGTGGTCATATGTCGAGTAGGTCGTAAGTCGAGGGGTAGCTGTAATAATGATAAAAATAAAAATTCCTCCAAAATCAGCTAGAATCATAAGTTTGAATACCACATGCATTGAGGATGATCTGCCATATTTACTGCTATGATAAACAATAACATTTATACATAGCATATCATAAAATACAATAGCACATATTTTATGTAAAAAAAAAATCTCCTTCCAACCATCTTCTGGGCAACACGACATGACATTGGGAGGGAGAGCAGCCACCCAGTTATATTCCACCACCTCCACACACATTCACATCCCACCCATGCTCTTAATTTTTCAGATTTAATAGTTTTGTGTTACATATTCTTTATTTCGAAGCCAAATTGTTTATATAGAGTAGAATAAGTGTTAAAGAAGTTTGTTTTTCTGAGACGAATTTGCTAGGTCAGCCTGTAGCACTGTGCATTGTAGGATTTATTGGGGGTATCCTAAGAGTGAGGTTCAACTAAACAAAAAATTTCTTTATCCAGCATCTAATAGTCTCCGTAGGTGCCGGATTCCAGGATTCTACTGTAATGATTACTTCTTTTATTTGTTTGCACATTTTGTATGAAAAATTGTGTGTGCATGTAACAAAAAAAAAATTACTGTACATATGCCTTCCCCTGCTCTGTGATAACTCCAATGCACATAAGAAATGTCTATTCCCTTTATGTTTTTGACCCTAAAAATAATTTTGTTTTGCACATTCTGTATGAAAGATGGTACTGTATGTGCATGTAACAGAAAAATAGAAAAACAAAATTATGTATGCTTACTCAAAATAAGTTGAAAAATAACCACTTTGAGTGCTAACTCTGGCTCCTCAGGGTCTCAGGAACGGAACCAATTTTTTCTCCATAAGTTGTTAATATTGATATACGATCGATCACCTAATAATGACTTTTGAAGTCTCTAACCCCATCATATGACGGTCAACAGCAATATACAGGTAGTCCGCGCTTGATGTCGTCCCTCTTAACGTTATTTCGGTACTACATCGCTTAACTTTAAGAGACAAAAATTCGTTTAATATCCCGGTGATCCGATACTACGCCGTTTTGCATTGTCATGCACTACTTTCTATTGCGTATCACCCTCTCTCGGCTGGCGCAGAGTCTCAGTGACTCACCACTCCTCCTCTCCCACCCTCCTCTGCTCCCACCATCCTCCTCCGCTCCCTCCACACTCCTCCCCTCCCATCATCCACCTCCTCCGCTTCACTACCCACCACACACTTGCTCTATCACTTCTGCCCATCGGTGAGTACCAATATAAACTTAGTAGTTGTATATTTGTGCATTATTTTCTATAGAAATAGCAATGAATTTCTGTATACAGTATGTAATGTATTTCATGGGGCAAAGGGAGGCTCAGGAACATAACTCCCGTATTTTATCTATTTCTTATGGGGGAAATTGATCCACTTAACGTTGTTTCGTATAACGTTGCGTTTTTAGGAACATAACCCCGACGTTAAGCGAGGACTCCCTGTAGCTGCATGTTGTTTGGTTGGAAAATTCTTTGTTTTATGGTGGCCTTTACTTACAACATACAATTTCAATTACCTGACCAGTAGTTTTTATTGTTATGCATAATATTAAGCTTAGATGTGTAAGAAATATTGAATTTGATAAATATGATAGAATTTAATACAAACATATTGAAATTTCAGGCTTTTTGGAGGTGGTCTATCAGAGGAATCAGATGTTTTCTTCACACAGGTAAGAATTAGTACAGTACACTATACAGTATCTCCATTTTTTAAAACTATTATTATCATGCAGTAACTTCATTGATAATAGTATTTTTCAGGATGAAATTGATCTCAATATTGCATGGAGCCATCTACCAAGGGGCATACATTTTTGTTTTGTACAGTACAGTACAGTATACAGTAGTACAGTACAGTACAGTATAGTACACTATATGTAATGGTGTACAGTATACTCTCGATTTACGCAGTCAATTGAACCCGTGGAGGTCCGCGTAAATCGAGAAACGTGTAAACGAAATAACAGAACATATGGGATTAATTGAAATAGAGACTGGGCCGACCCCCAAACTCCACTTTTTCCGACACAATTTGTACCTATGTTGTAGTAAAAATAACATCTTAATTTTATGATGGTATGCATACACAGTTAATATTTAAGAGAAATACAGTCGCCAGGTTAATGTCCATTCAAATAATGGACTCAACTCCCCCACCTCTCTCTTCCCAAGCTCGCTGGCTCCTCCCTCTCTGAGAAATGTTTGGGTGAAAACACTAGATTTTAAGGTATAGTAATAAATAATACCTCAGACTAAAGTTAGGGTAATATAATTGACATTTCTGGATTCCTTGCAGGTCAAGGAATATTTTGAATGTAAACTTAGTATATTTTGCACAAAAGATAAAATATTTGCTTTGTGTAAACCAAATTATTACATTAGATCTAAAATTTGTATGTCTAATGCAAAATCCATGATATTTATTTTCAAAATGATCATCATATTGTAAGAATTCCAGCAATATAAATTATATTCTGGCCGGGTAATTTGTATGAATTTTATGAGCTAAATAAAAAAATTATACTTCACCCGCGTATATGAGTAGGTGCACCGTAAAATGGTGTATGAGGGGCCTGATGTGGTGTAGTAATTCCCTCAGATGATCCCTCACAGATGGTGTATGAGGGGCCTGATGAGGATGGCGATGTGGTGTAGTAATTCCCTCACAGATGGTATGGGGGCCTGATGAGTAATTCCTCACAGATGGTGTATGAGGGGCCTGATGATGTAGTAATTCCCTCACAGATGGTGTTATGAGGGCCTGATGTGTAGTAATTCCCTCACAGATGGTGTATGAGGGGCCTGATGTGGTGTAGTAATTCCCTCACAGATGGTGTTATGAGGGGCCTGATGTGGTGTAGTAATTCCCTCACAGATGGTGTATGAGGGGCCTGATGTGGTGTAGTAATTCCCTCACAGATGGTGTATGAGGGGCCTGATGTAGTGTAGTAATTCCCTCACAGATGGTGTTATGATGAACTTCACATGATGTTGTAGCAACTCATTCACTACATGGTGTCGTAGCATCATGGGGACACCAAGTGTTCTGAGGTGTGGTCCCAGGCCTCTCTATCGTGGAGTCTTGGGGGAATTATCACTGGGTACCTGGGACCTCACTGTGTGATGGTTAGCTTGGGTAAGACTCAACTGCCTAGTTGTTTTTCACTGACTTAAGCACTGTTCACCACTATTCAACACTGGTTCCATTCCTTTGCCAAATGAAATAGTAACTTCTGGCGAGAACTTGTTGATATTCCAGTGGGGAGGAGGGTTCAGGGGAGGGAGTTCGTATGGGCCAACATAACAGTTGACGTGGCTGCTGCTGAGCAGCGCCAGGTGCGTCTGATCCGTCTTGACCCGTCGGTGGTCAAGGATGTGTGTGTGTGTGCATGCGTGCGTGCGCTTCCTGTTTTTACATCTCACTGATATATTATTATTTATTTTTTTTATTCATTCATCCCAGTCTTTGTTATCCTCTGGTCTTCCTTCTTTTATTTATTTTTTCTCATTACCTCACTAATACAGTAGTACTACGATTTACGCGATTTACGGTCAATTGAACCCACAGGGTACCGTGGAAAGTGAAAACCACGTAAAGTGAACAACAGAACATATGGGATTAATTCCAATAGAGACTGGCCCGACCCCCAAACTCCACCTTTTCCGACACAATACCTATGTTGTAGTAAAAATAACATCTAAATTTTATGATGGTATGCTCACACAATTAATATTTACGAGAAATACAGTCGCCAGGTTAATGTCCATTCAAATAATGGACTCAAATCCCCCCCTCCCCCCACTCTTCCCAGCTCACTAGCTCCTACCTCTCTGATTAATGTTTGGGTGAAAACTCTAGATTTTAACGTTTAGTAATAAATAATACCTCAGACTAAAGTTAGGATAATATAATTGACATTTTTAGATTCCTTGCAGGTCAGGGAATATTTTGAATGTAAACTTCATATATTTTGCACAAAAGATAAAATATTTGCTTAGTGTAAACCAAATTATTACTTTAGATCTAAAATTTGTATGTCTAATGCAAAATCCATGATGTTTATATTCAAAATGATCATCATATTGTAAGAATTCCAGCAATGTAAATTATATTCTGGCCGGGTAATTTGTATGAATTTTATGAGCTAAAACATATATCTTCATTAAATAAACAAAGAAATATTTGAAAATGCGCTCCGAAATCCATGCCGGAAAACTGAAGGTTCCGGTTTATCGGTTGCCGGATTTTTGATAGGCCACCTGTAATAATTTTTGCCGCCCCTCCCCAGGCCCTGATGTGGGTCAGCGATCTGTGCCTTTTTTTATGGGGAATAGCCCACCCTGGCACAGGTCATCGATCCACAACGGGACCTAGGAGGCAAAAAAATAAATAAGAGTAAAAAAAATTAAAAATAGAAAAGAAAAAGTTTATATTAATCTACACCACAAAGATGCCGGAAAACCAGTTTTTTAAAGTGACATAGATTGTATGAGTATGGAAACACAGAAGAAGGCAGAACATTTCACAGTTTGGCTGTGTGAGGAAAGAAGGGTGTACTATAACGGGTTATTCTAGTGTGACCGACATCCTCAGAGAAATGGTGGACACCGCGGGCAAGACGTGTGTTCCGAGCCCATGGCCTTGCCGGCGGTACACAATAAGGTGCTAAATCCACGGAACATTGTCCGTTAAAGTACAGGTGCTCCTTTACTTATGAACGAGTTATGTTCCTGAGGCTTATTTGTAAGTCCAACTTTACTCTTATAGATCCAAACATATTGTAAAAAATGAAAAGATTATGGATATTTAGTACAGCTATACCCTTTAATACAGCCTTAAAACCTGGCTCACTCTTCACCTCTTAGGTAATGTTTGTTCTATCTGGAATTTTATTCAAAATAATCCAGTCTCATCCACATTAAACACCTGTTGTAAGTTGAACGTTCTTAAGTAGGGGAGCACCTGTACCTGTAAAAGAGAGAGAGTGAAGCAACATTGCAGCAAAGAGAAAGGGAAGAAAGATTATCAACTAAAGGAGGAGAGCTAATAAGATGAAATGCCTTTGATTCCACCGTATCTAACAGTAGGACAGAAGAAGAACCACCCGAGATATGAGAGCAGTACTGTACTCCAAGTTAGGATGAATGAATCACTTATATACTTGAAGCAACTGCTCAGGAGTGAAGTAGCTACGGCATCTGTACAGCATTCCCAACTTTCGTGAGGCGGCTTTAGTAATGTTGAGGATTTGTGGCTTCCATGACATATTAGAGGAAATGGTTAGGCCTAACATATCTATTTTAGATTTTGGCAGAATGATAGCATTCTGAAATGTGATTGGTAGGAGATCATCTAATTTGGAAAGTGTAATTGGTAAATACTTAGTTTTATTACTGTTGAATTTAACCAAGTTTCTACCTCCCCGTTCGGAGATGCTGCACAGATCCTTTTGATAGATGTAATGATATCAGCTCTGGAGACAAATCTAGTTTGAGAATTAGGGGGAAGGGGAAAATGTGAAGAAGAGTGAAAAGTAGAATCATCAGCAGAGAAATAGATAGAATTAGTCATAGTGTGAAGTAAATCATTGATAAAAATAAGGAAGAGAGAAGGTGAAAGAACAGGACCCTGTGGGACACCACTACGTATTTGTAGAGAAAGAGCAAGAGATCGATTCCTCGACAACAACTGCCATGGATCAGTTTTCAAGGAAGCTAGAGATTAGAGAACAAACTGGGGGAGAGAAACCACAAGAGGGAAGTTTAGAAAGCAAAGACTTGTGCCATACCCTGTTAAATGCTTTGGAGATGTCAAGGGGCACGATGAAAGTTTCTCCATAATCCCTAAGAGAGGATGACCAAAGATGGGTGCAGTAGGAGAGCAGATCACCAGTAGATCTCGCCTGGCGAAAGCCATACTGGTGAACCGACAAAAGAGAAAGGCGTTCAAGGTGTTGGAGAAAATTAGAGTTTAAAATATAATATCCCCGTTAGCCGGAACAATTGGTGTAGAGCACTTCCGGGGATGAGAGATTTCCGGCTAACTGGACGACTTTCTTAAACCCGGAGTCTAAACTAAAAATCTATATATGGTCGTGAATGAAGCTGTGTGTTACAGCAAAGACTGGTATTTTCCACTCCCATGGAGCTGTGGGGGATTCGTTGGTCTTGTGTAACTGACCTGACCTGACACAATGTCAGGTGGAGGGAGGGTGGGGTACTGGTGATCGCATATTACTGACCTTCTGATACATTGTCGGGTGGGGGATTAGTGAGTCTGAGGACCTGAAGATGTCTTGAATAAACATGAAAGCTAAAATACAGTATTTTTTATACTTACACTTAAAGCATTATTTCCCTTGAATATTACGTTACATAAGATTTTAAAATGTGGAGTGACAAAGCTGAAAGGTGTGGGTGATTAAGAGAGATGGAGTGGAAAGGAGTGGTAACATGCACCAGTGTTGCCAAGCGCTAAGCTCCTCGCCAGCTGATCTTTTAATTCACCACCACATAGTTAACCATGCATAAATTTATGTCATACAATATGTGGGTATTAAGGTGTCTGGGTGTGATGTGGTATTAATTAATAAATAAGCAATATTGTATCGTCAGTGACAGTCATTTGATGAATAGCAGCATACTACAATTGTCACTACTATTCATCAAA